GCAGATTCCAAGCACTTCCTCCTTCCCAGGACAAGGTACGCCAGGAGAGACGCAGGAGGGCTGGAAAACTGCCCTGGATTCTATGGAGATTCTCAGTCATCCAGGTCATGGTTGTCCCAAAGGTGCTTTTTCAAGAAGCAACTGTGGACTTTCTTTGCTTTTCTTTGAAGACATTTTGCTTCTCAACCAAGAAGCTTCTTCAGCCCTGACAGGATAGTGGGGAATGGAAGGATTTATATTCCTTGCAGACAGCGGGTCATTTGCATCCTGTATCCTTAAGAGTCACCTGGTTCCTTGTAAGACTAGAGGAACCAGGAGCACCACTCAGGTGACCCTGATGACACATAAACCTCCAAGTGGCCTCAACGACTGTCTAAAAGGATGCAAAGGACCCGCTGTCTGCAAGGAATATAAATCCTTCCATTTTCCACCATCCAGTCGATCTGAAGAAGCTTCTTCGATGAGAAGCAAAACGTCTTCAAACAAACAAACAAAAAAACCCAGAAAGTCCAGTCGCCTCTTGGGGGAAAAAAAGCACCTTTGGGTGCCCCGGATTGGGGAAACGATGGTCTTTTCTTTCGCGTTCAAAGGAGAAGCTCTATGCCATGCACGGGGTGGGTGGGTGGTGTTCACGGTTATTTCCCTCTCCAGGAAGCGATTGAAGCAGCAGTTTAGGAACCGCGGGAAAAGGGCTACTGCAAGCCCGCGTCGGACAGAACAAGCCCAGCCGCCCAACATCTGGCTGGCATCTGCACGGGGGGGGGGGGGGGGGGGGGGGGAAACGGGGGGGGGCGCCTTTGGGGGGGGGGGGGGGGGGCAGTCCCCGATACAAAGAGGGCGTTCGGGACCGCGCCTGCGTCATGCGGTCTCTCCCGCCCCCCGGTGTGTGTGCGCGCGCGCGCGCGAGCCATCAAAGCCCCCCCCCCCCACCTCCGTGCGCGAGCGAGCGCTTGAAGCGAAGGAGGGAGAAGAGCGAGAGGAGTTGAGAGCGAGCGCGCGCTCCACGCCACCCTCCTCTTCCAATCAGCGCCCGTGATGAGCAAACAAAAAAAAAAAAAAAAAAGAAGCCGCGCGTTGCAGCCCGAGTCGGTCAAAAAGGGGTGGGGTTGTACCCATCCTTCCCCGGGGCGGTTGTGGCGCGGCTGAGGGAAAGAGGGAGGGGAGGACAGGGAACCAGGCGGGCGAGAAGGGCAGCGCGCGGGGGCCGGAGCCAGACGGGCGCTTCCCTGGGAAGCGGCGGCGACGACGACGACGGCGCCGGCTCGGCTCCCCTCCTGCTTTTGGAGGCGCTGAGGGGAGGCCCGGGCGGGGCTTTCCGCCCCCGCCTTGTCTGAAGGAAGGGGACGGGACGTGTGGGGGGAGGGGGGGCCCCAAAAAGGGGGGGGGGGGTGGAAACGGGATGGGGGGGGGCGTAATGGAGGGGGGGCTTTTCCGGAGGCGGGGTTGCGGCGGCGATAGTGGGGAAGGCGCCGGCGGTGGTTTGAGGAGGGGAGGGGAACGGCTGCGGCCGGTGTCAGCCGCCATTTTACGCGCCGCCATTTTCTGGCCCGCTCTGAAGCCGGGGCCAGCCAAGGCGGCGGCGGAGGAGGAGGCGCCCTTAAACCCCTCTGCAGACCGCCGGGGAGGGGCCGAGCGGCGCCCGGGCTGAGGTAAAAAGCCATCCCATTCTTGGAAGAGGAGAAAAGAGTCGTCCGCCATTGAGGCCCGGAGTAGGCCTCGGGGCGCGGCCTGGGCCGGGGCCTAAGCGGCCTGGCGCCCTTCCCTCCCGCCGCCGCCTCTCTTTTCCGTCTCTCTGAGGAGCTGCTTTAGGATCCTAGCCTCGTCGCAACCGGCGGATGGGCCGCCCCCAATACCCCCCACCTCCTCACCTTCGCCGGGCGGGCTCGGGCCCGAGCGGGGGTGGAGGCCGGAGGACACTCGGCCGCCTCGGCTGCCAGTTTTCGGGGCCTGGCATTTGAGGTCCGCCAGGTCCGAGGCCTGCACCAATCACAGGCTCGGGCTAGGAAACGGCAGGCGGGCGGGAGCGCGCGCGGCCTTCTCCTTCGCCCGCGCGCGCTCCCTCTTCCCCCCCTCCCCTGTTTCCCCCCCTGCGCCGTCCTCGCGAACAGCCGGAACACGTCACCCAGGCGCGTCGTCCCCTGGGTTGCCTTTCTCCCCTCCCTCTTTTCCTTTGAGGGAGCATGCGCGGGGAGGCGAGTGAAGTTCGGCGTCGCCCGCATCTTTCCCTGAGTCGAAGGGAGGGGGAGTGGGGAGGAGAAAGGATAGCGGGCGAACAAAAGCCAGGAGCGAAAAACACCCGGCGGGAGGGGGAAAAAAGCGGGAGGGCGGCGCGCGACAAACAAACAACCAGCGGGCGATTCTACGGGTATCGCCTCACGTCGAGACCACCCCCTGAGGTGGGAGGGCAGACTTCAAAAATGCGCACCAAAAAAATGCAATGTTGCAATGCTTTCCCGCTCGACTTTAATAAAGAGTTAATATTTTTTTTTAAATAAAGGAAGTGGCCGAAGTCCAACTTTGAAATTAACCTTTATCTTCTCCTAACCACCCCTGGTCTCATCGGATTCCTGTTATTCTTGCAATGAAACGTACAATTAAAGTGCCAGTTTGGTTCTGAGCGCGTTAGTCTTGTTTCTCCCGAGCAACGCAAAGAGGCATTTGCCTGGGTTTGAAAGAAGCATCAAACTCACCACCACCCTCAAATTCAAACGACGAACATTTGAAAAAGAAAAAAGATTCACCCATTGAGCCACAAACAGCAAGATTTACCATCTTTTGTTAGATGCATTTCCAAGATGCAAGGGGACTGGACTGCATTTTCTAACATTCCCATCATTAGATTTGGAAGTCTCAGGAAGGGTGAGAGAGAAAAAAAAAGTTTTGTTAGGAGCAAAGACCAAGCAAGCTCCTTGCTTCGGGCTTCTGTATCTTTAAAATGCTGTGCCCCTTTTGTCTTTCTGCACCCTAAACTTACAAAGAGCAGGGGGAATCACAAACACACTGCTAAAAGTTTTTGACCCTGCTGCTAAAGAGAGAGAAGAGCAGAGAAAGGCAGACTGAGGGTTTCTTAAACCTTTTGTTGTTAGGGCCCTTTCCCATTTTTAGACAAAACCTCCAAAAGAGCTTTTGTTTGTATGGGTTATAATCAATAGTTATCCTATCATAAATTAAAATGATACTGTAGGAAGTCCCCCCTCCCCTTTTCTTAATAGTCCACAGCAGGTTAGCACTTAAGAGATAAAGAGCTTATTGAAAGAAGACAAGTGGATAGTTCTATTCATAAACAAATACCCTCATCCAAGAGCCATTCTTAACACTGGTACATCACAGGGTTGTGTGTTGAGTCCCTTACTCTTTATGTGCATGACTGCATTCCCACTCACACTATTAATACTATTGCTAAATTTGCAGATGATATAACAGTGGTGGGACTCATCTGGGGAGGGGGGGAGGAGTTTGCCTACTGAGATGAGGTGGACCAGTTGCTTTCGCGGTGTGGAGACAATAACTTGGTCCTCAACACCAGTAAGACCAAGGAGCTTATAGTGAACAGATCAGACATCCAGCCCTTGCTTATCAATGGAGACTGAGTGGAGCAAGTGGCCAGTTTTAAGTTTCTGGGTGTTACCATAAAAGAGGACCTGACTTAGGATGCCCACATTGCAGCCCTGGTCAAAAGGGCCCAGCAGAGATTATACTACCTGAGACTTCTCAGAAAACAACAACAATGAAAAACTGCTGGTGACCTTCTCCCGCTGCACCATAGAGTATCTTAACTTACTGCACCTGCGTATGGTTTGTCAATTGCACAGTGGCAGATAGGAAAGCACTCCAGAGGGTTAATGTCATTGCCCAGAGGATCATGGGTTGCCCTCTCCTCTCTTTGGAAGAGCTTTATAGCTCCCGCTGCCTTAAGAAAGTTCAAAACATCCTCAAAGATCCATCTCATCCTGGGAACCCCTTTTTTAAAATTATTACCATCTGGCAGATGGTACAGGATAATAAAAACAAGGACAAATAGGCTGAAAAACAGCTTCTATCCCAGGGCAGTAGCTCTGTTGAATTCTACTGTATAGTGCATGGTTGGTGTGGTGTTGGGGTTTTTCAGTTCAATGTGTGGAGAGTGAAGGATGTGTGTTTGTGTTTATTTTCATGGTCAAGGTCATGGTCATGATGTGCACTGAAGATGGTGTTTGAGGTGCAATGACAATAAAGTAAACTAAAAACAGGATGAAAGCCATTAAGCCACAATAGGAATTGCATCATCCCCAGAGCAGTCTTCAAACTTCAACCAAACCAGGGAGCTCAGACAAACACCTAGGATTTGCATTTGCCTATAGAACCAGCTATGACCCCATACAAATCTGGCAATAGCCAATAGAATACATGTTCCTGCATAGGAATAGGAAGCTCAAATACAGAGCCCAAAGAAAACCCAACTCTCAACTCCATTTTTGTCAGCTTCCCAGAATCACAAACGCATGTGGTTCTGCTTTATCAATAAACCATCTTCACAATTAGCCTCCATGTTTCCAGTGTCTTTCTCCCAGCTTGGAACTGAACCAGATGGATATTTCTCCCAACAATTCTCCACAAAGCACAACTGATGTTCTGTGGTAATGCAAAACAAAGCCCCTTTAAGATTAAGAATCTGGTGTCATCTTTAGGATACAAGTTGAAATGTGGGACTGCAAAATAAATACTGAGATATTATGGGGTTATCATGTACCCCAACATCAACTCTAAAAGGATGCAAATGACCAGCTGTCTGCAAGGAATATAGATCCTTCCATTCCCTGCTATCCTGTCAGAGCTGAAGAAGCTTCTTGGATGAGAAGCAAAATGTCTTCAAAGAAAAAACAAGAAAGTCCAGTTGCCTCCTGAAAAAAAAAGCACCTTTGGATCCACCTAAAAACTATTTTGAGGACTACAACTCTGAGGGATAAAGAATAAACAGACGAAAGTATTTATCTTATAGTTTATTATACCATAAGGCACTACTTAGTTTTCTGAAATTCCTTTTAGTTATATGTATACTGTGGACGAACATATCTAGTGGGTGGATTAGTACTGAGATAGTTCATTGGCTGGGAACTATTCTCCCCATAATCAGGAAGCGGAAACGATGTCTTAGGTTTCTGTAAAGGAAAATTAAGATTAAAAGTCATTTAAGGCAGTGTTTCTCTCAATGATGCAATCTTCAAGACAGGACACTTGACTTATTTCTCCCAGTTGAAAGTCCACAAAAGAAAGGAGAACTGAGAAAGAGAGCATGCCAACCACAGCTAGTTGAGTATGTTAAAGCAAAGTAGACCTACATTATCCAGGCTACAAAACATCTGAACAATCACTAAGTGCCTTCAAAACTAATGGTTTTATGCCATTTAGTAGTTGTCTAGATTTTGCAGCTCAGAACTGATAAGCCTAAAATCTATGTAGAATGGATGTTTCCTGGACACTGGCATTAGAATAGTCTCTGAAAATTTGGCCTTTAGAGCCTAAATAAAATAGCTTTTTGAACTAGTCAGGTCTCACTCATTACAATCAAGTAATATCTTGATTATGGAAACACTGCTTCCAGGTGCAAATGCTATTTTAACAATACTACTTTATCCTCATTTCCTGCTCCATTTTGAATTTATAGCAACAAGAAACACAGTCAACACCATAATTACATTTTTAGGTCACTAGAATGTACCATAACTGATAAATACACAAACAAAAGCCCAATAAGCTTGGTATGACCCTGCTTTCTTTAGAGTGATGGTGGGTCTTCAGAAAGGAAAGGTTGAAATCTTCTGATTCATTAAATGGTGGGATTTCAGTTGGGACATGCAACATTGACTTCTAGAAGGCATGATATAACAGAACATGTATATATCTCTCTCTTCTGAGAACTTAAAGAAAAATGGATTGTCGGTTCTATTTTGGTAGCCAGGAGGGACAAGCAGAATTTCAAGCAGCTTGGATGGATGGATGGATGGATGGATGGATGGATGGATGGATGGATAGATCCACAAAGTCCATTTGTGTCCTTTTCAATGTAAATATTGGATACAATTCTCTTAAATCAAATAACCCATAGTTTTGCAGAAAGGCTGATCATGGGAACTGTCCCATTTAACTATAAGCAATGCTTTGGCTTATTCTAGTAGTTGATAGCAACCTTGTCCAACCCAGGTGAAATTTGACACAAGTCAATCATGCTTGAGTTGGCTACAACACTTATATGATTTTTGGCAATCTCATCCAGGTCACCTAGTTTGAACTGGGAAGTCAGATAAACATTCTACATAAACAAACAAATCTCATGTTCTTGCCTGAATCCTTATAAGATTCTGGTTATTATTTTTTATTATTACTAATGATTGTAACTTCAATTTTTAATCCAGGTCACCTAGTTTGAACTGGGAAATCATATAAACATTCTAAATAAACAAATAAACCCCATGTTCTTGCCTGAATTCTTATAAGATTCTGGTTATTATCTTTGATTATTACTAATGATTGTAGCTTCCTTCCATAGGGTGCTCATGGATGCCATGCAAAAGCCATTAAATTTTGTTCCTTTTATGTTGTAGTTTTAGAAACACTACCTCTTTAGTTCAGTCTGTCTGATTGTCTTACTTTTTCTTACATGATGATCTAAGTTAGGAGTATCGATTAAATACCGCTGTCTACTGAGGACTGTCTGAAAAATTGGAGGTGTCTAGACAACATCTTGTGGTAGCAACAGGATCCAGAAAACCATGGGAAAAATTCTATTTGCACAATGATGCAAATTATTTCCTTCCCACAAAAGCTCTACATCAATATGTCTCTCAAAGCTACTGATGGGTTCTAGGAAACTATGACAAGTTTGAAGCAGAAATCAATGGAAACTGAAGTCAATTCCTTCATACAAGCAAAGGGGGCATCCACTGACATCCAGAACACTGTAAAATGCCATTTTTGTGCATAACTAAAATTTGGACATACCGGAAGCTGCCTCATAGGCAGATCTTCAAATGAGATTTCTTGATCATAATCTGCACTTGGGATGTCATTCACCCAGTGGATACTCCGGGCAGCTTGGGCAGGTGGGACTATCCTTGGAAGAGGTCTCTGGAGTGAGTAGCTGTCATGAGAAAATTGGAGATAACCATAAAAACATTCTGTAGCCCTGGAAATGAAAACCTAGGAGTTATATTCCTACAACACGTTGAGCTAAATGTAAATAGATATAGATTAACAGAGTTGGAAGAGACTGTGTAGGTCATCTAGTCCAACCTCCCACCCAAGCAGGAGACCCCACACCATTTCTGACAGATGGCAGTCCAATCTCTTCTTGAAAGCTTCCAGGGATGAAGCTCCCACAACTTCAGAAGGAAACTTCCGTTCCATTGGTTGATTGCTTATTTCCAGGTTGAATCTCTCCTTGTTCAGTTTCCAACCATTATTCCTTGTCTGGCCTTCGGGTGCCTTGGAAAATAGCTTAGCCCCCTCCTCCTCTCTGGGGCAGCCCCTCAAATATTGGAAGGCTGCTGTCATGTCTCCCCTGATCCTTATCTTCACTAGACTAGCCAGGCCCAGTTCCTGCAACTGCATTATGGCTCAATTTGCTGTATTGCCCAGGAAATGAAAGCAGACACACAAACAAATACAAATTTTCCACTGTTACTAGTTTTCTCTGCTTATTGGAAAAGAAAGCTGTTTTCGCCTATTGTATGTGTAGTGATCACAATGTGGAAGTTACTGTAAGGCTGAATTCCTAATAAATATTTTCTCTGAAGTGATTTTCGAGCAAATTATTGTAGATGCAATAGTGTCACAAAGTAATGTGAAATAACTTCTTTCTGGATGTGGACTGTGTGTGTGTACATGTGTCTATGTCTATACAGTGGGTTTATGCTACACATACATGCAAACAAACACACACACACACATAGAGGTTCCAGATTAAGCCAAGTTGAGTGTCCTCAATATATGACCAGTATTGAGCCTTAAATTTATGTTGCTAAGTGAGACAGTTAAATGAATTTTGTCCCATTTTACGACCTTTTTTGCCACAACTGTCAAGTGAATCACTCAGGGGTGGGATGCAAATATTTTTACTACTGGTTCTGTGGGCGTAGCTAGGTGGGTGTGGCCCTGTGACTGGGTGTGCAGGCCCCCCCCCCCGCAAGCACTTCAGGTTTTTTTTTTGCCTCCTGGGCCTCAGGGAAGCCCCCTGGGCGAAACAGTAAGGCAGCGAGGGGGATCCTGGAACAGCTGATCGTCGAGAGGAGGGGAAAAAAAAGAAATAGCTGTTTTTTTACTACTGGTTTCAGCGAATGGTAGCATTTTTCTTTTTACTATCGGTTCACTTGAACCGTGCCGAACCAGTAGAATCCCACCACTGGAATCACTGCAGTTGTTAAGTTAGTCACATGCTTGTCAAGTGAATCTAACTTCCCCATTGACCTCACTTGTCTGAAGGTCGCAAAAGGGGATCACGTGACCACGAGATGCTGCAACCATTATACATGTGACTGCAAAGTTATACAGTTGCAAAGCATCTGTGATGACCTGGGGCGTGATACAAAAATAACCAAGTCACAAAAATCTAAAAAAGTCCCTTTCATGCCTCCAACTTGGCCCCAATGTCCAATTATCCTCGGCTGGATATCAAACTCTTAAAGAAAACAGTTTATGGAGGGAGTAAATGTAGTCCACACCCAAAGTAAAGTTAATTCAAAATAAAAAACCCAACATGCCACACTGAAGGAATTACTATGGTAAGCAAGGATGATTAATTGCAGACTTCTACCAGATAACGCAGCAACCACAGTTGGGAGGAAGCCAAAACACAGATAAGCTCTGACAAGAATGCACGCTTTGCGTCCAACAACTATGCCACGAGCAGTTTGACCTTTTAAAAAGTCATCCCAGCTGCAGCCCATGAAGGGGATCAGGGCCCCTTCCTCCCCCATAGAACACACCACTCATGTTTCTCCCTTATCTGCTCCTCCCTGCGTGCCCTAGGATGAAGAGGAGATGGGCCTGGGTCTTCCTCTGAATGCCCATCCGGCTTGTGCTCTTCCCCAGCTTCCTCCACAACCACTGGAGCCACACCCCCACTCCCTGTCAACTGTTCCATCTCTCACACTCAGAGTCAGACTCCAACAGGGGCATGACAGCATCTGAATTTTGATCATGTGACCATGTGGGATGCTGCAATGGTCGTAAGAGTGAAAAAAAGGTCATAGGTCATTTTTTTCCAATGCCCCCGAAACTTCGAACCGTCACTAAATGGATGGTTGTAAGTCAAGGACTACCTTTATTGGATTTCCATCCAGGGAAACCAATGCTTAAAATTAGTTGGGACTACACGAGCTTCCCTTTTCGAATGTGAAAGGAAGTTAACAATCTGGATTTAGCCCCTGTGATAGAAAACACAACTCCTTATCCCAGGAGGTCATACCTGAATCTGTCAGGAAAGGGGATCTCCTCTTGCTTTTGGATCACAAAGGCGCCCTGTGTGAGAAAAATCAGAAATGGAAAATAAGAAGATTGCTTTGATTTTGATTATTGTTTTAAACAGGAAAAGAGCATCCCAAGATAATATTTTTTTCTGAAAATGAAATAGGTCAAGATTATGTTGATGGAGGAAAAATAAAACTGGGGGTGGAAAAGTCAACCATGCATCTTTATGAGATCAAAATTGGGCATTTCACCTTCTAAAAGCTTGCAAAGTATTGTTCATATTGTACGGGTAGTATCATCATATTTTCTTTTCCATATGAGCCAGACCTTTCTTGCTCTGTTCGTCTCTTTCTAAGAAGGTCACTGTCTTATATTTGCTATTTGATTTTTCTTTCCTAGGTCAGGATGTGCAAAAGGGTGAGTATTACTTTGGAGATTTACTCTTGAATCATTTTTTTTTAACATCCCATTTATTTACTTATACATATTGAATGTAAACTTATACCATCTTTTTCACATAATCCTGGAAGTATTGATGAATTAATCACATCTTGTAGATCAGAGATCTGGTATCAATTTCCATTGGAAAATAAGTGGTATGTTTAAAAACAACGAGGCAAGATATGTCTAAAAAATAACTAGCAACCATTTTTTGTAGAAGCAAAACAGCTCTTTAAAAGCCTCATTAAATTAAAACAAAATTACCCATAATAAATAAAACAAAGCCATAATAACAGCAATGAAATAAATTTAAAACATGTTTGCTTACCAGCTGTCCTTGGGGATTATTTGAGATGACAGGAGCTGGGAGCCTTGATTGCCTTCCTTGACTTCTGAAAATATTACCAAACAATCAGATTAAAAAAAAGAAAATAAATATTAAACATAAATGTAGCCTACCCTTGACGAGGAGAAAAAACTATAAGCTAAGCTAAGCTAAGCTAATTTGTTTTGTTCAGTCGTGTTCAATTCTTGGAGATATCCCTGCAGTTTTCTTGGCAAGGTTGTTCATAAGAGTTTGCCCTTCCCTCCTTTCTAGGGCTGAGAGAAAGTGACTCGTTCAAGGGTAACCAGTTGGCTTTGTGCCTAAGATGAAACCAGAACTCATCGTCTCCTGGTTTCTAGCCTGATGTCTTTGCCACTAAAACTGTGGTTAGGATCATAAACCATTAAAAATGGACGACCTCGGCTTATGATAAGGTGATAAACAAACCATAATTAGACAAGCTATGACTTGGTATGTTATATGAACACCACTTCTATGTTGCTCCTAAGCTCTCTCTTCATTAGGATGTTTGACACTCTGGTTGTGGCCCGCCGGCGGCTAGTGGAGCTGGCAGCAAAGCCGGACAGTGAGGAGGTTGTGGGGGGAACATGGGCCAGTCCTGGAGGCTAAGGAAGGCTCGGACGAGGGCTCTGCATCAGAGGCAGAGATGGGGCCAGGGCAGGCTGGCAAATGTCAGCTGCCTTTGGAGTCGGACAGCAGTGAGGCAGGGGAGTAGCTGGAGCCGGTTCCCAGCCTGCGCATGCACAGAGCTGCCAAAAGAAAAGAACAACTACGAACTCAGGGTCGATGTGGGAGTAAAGCCACAGGTGGATGTTGAATGGCCCCATCCATAGGGATTAAAAGAGGAACAAACGGGGAGGGGGCTTTTGCGGGGAACAATTCCTTCGTTGCATCATTGTGAAGATCTGTCTGTGCATCTCAGAGACTCTGTGCTGAGTCCTTCCTTGTCAGCACTGCATTTGAAAATATTTACTTGGCAGCTCTCCAAGCTAGATAAGGTCTGTGCTCCTAATTACACCCTTGACAGACTGTTTGCCAGGCCCTTGGCTGAAGGTGAAGGCAAGAAATTCACCTTCGTTTAATAAAAAGGGTTTTGCCGGGACAAAGAGTCTGCTTAGGGCTTTTGGGGGACGCCCAGGTCAGAACAACTCTTAGTTCAATGTTACCTATAAGTTCACTGATCAGGGGAGGGATTTGGTGGAAATAAATCCTACCTTAATCAAAAAAGAATCTTCTCTCTGCCCCCAATCAACTCACCTGCTCTTTTTCGGCTGGCTTCTACAGTAGGCAATCCACTGCATTAAGGTGAAGACGACTGTAGACAATGTTACTGCAGGAACCACGATCATCAATATCAAGTCCAGGGTGCTCCACAGATAATTACATTGGGGCCCCATGTACCAATAATCTTCCCATTTGTTTCGGTAGGAGGGACAGCTAGGGATAGAAATTGAGAAGCTTTGAACCACTTTCCCTGCAAACCATAGCCTGTACTATGAAGTTGGGTGCTAATCCACCCAACAAATCTAGGGCCGGGTGCTAGAATCATTTGGAGTAACATTGGTAAGTAGCGTTATCAGCCTCAAGCATTCAGACAAAGATTGCCTATCAACAAAGCTTCAGGGGAGGGCAACAAAAATGATTCAAGAGCCTGAGGACATGCCTGCAAGGACAGGCACCCTAAAGTTGAGAAGTCAGGAAGGGGAAAAAAAGACTTAGAGGAGAGATGATAGCCATGTTCAAGAACATAAAGACAAGCTACAGAGAAGATAGTCAAAAAAGTTTTTCCATATCTTGGAAACTACACCAGGAATAACAAATACAAGTTATGGATGAAGAAAGAGAGATAAAGATAGAGATAGAGATAGAGAGAGAGATAGAGAGAGAGAGAGAGAGAGAGAGAGAGAGAG